CATCCATCCATGAGAGTGAATTCGGGGTAAATTAAGGAGGAATCATTAGCAAAGGCTTTAGAGTTACAAGCTGGTCACAAACTACCCTTATCCGTCCATCTGTCCATCCATGAGTGAGATCTTGTAGGAAGTTAAGGAGGGATCATCATCTGTGATTTGGGAGGCATATGATTCCATGAAAATTGGTGTCTAACCCCCTTATGTGAGCGTAAGGAAGGTTTTTTTCTTGGCACTTTATATATTTTTTTTATTGTTACAGTTCTATTTAAAACATTTTTCACAAATTTTTGGGACATTAGACTTTAATTTGGGACTTTTGTTGGACTTTAATATATAATTTTTCACATTTTTATTATTTGTATTATTTGCGATGTATCACTTTATGAAGTATATTTTGATGTTTAGTCAATTTCTGCACAGCAGCATTTATTTTAATTCATTGCCTATTCCTTTGGCGGAAGTTTTCTGTATATTTTGTATGATTGATAGCAGCAGGAGCCATTGGGCCATTGAGGAGGCAGAGAACTGGGAGAGCTGCTACTCTTGAGCACATTGCTGGATCAAGATCAGGCTCGGGTAAGTATAAGGGGATAATAAGAATAAAACAGTGCAGCGCTAAAAACAATGAGTATACCGATAAAAATTAAAATTTAAATATTAAAACAATGGAGTATGGTGCAATTGGCTGCTATTGAAAGTGCTCGCTAGGTTCCTACCTTTTCCAAGTATAAGGGGGGCTGATGGGGGAGCTGTACACTTCAGCCTTTAAGACCACTTTAAATATGCCTCTTTGAATGATACAAAGCCATTTATGAAGAAGTATCTGAAAAGAAACTGTGTTGTTTATAGCAAACAATCAATAAAGGCCCTTTCACACGTGTGTTTTTCTTGCACTTTTAGCAAGGTAAAAATGCATAATATAAATATTTTCCCTTTAAATCCTATGGAACACTTCAGACCAATATGTAGCATTTTGCAAAGTCCTACATGCTGCACCCCTTCCTTGCAGGATGCAGCATAAAAAAAATGCACTGCAATTGCGTTTTTGGTGTGCTTTTTGAATCACATGTTCATGTTTCACAGGTGCATACTGGGAGTCAGACACGGGAAACACACCAAAAATGCATATGCGTTTTTACTGCTTTTTTTTTTTTTTTTTTTAATGGAGCAGTATGAAAAGGACCCCAAGTCTTCCTTTATTTTTCTCCATATGGGATAAAATTAATCAAAATATTTCAGATACCTATGTACAGGAGCACCAAAAGTCACTAATATTAGAAGGTGACAGCAAAATCTATAATGACATCACAAAAGATCCTTAACCTCCCTAGCGGTCTGATTATGTTCATATTTCTGTGCTCAAAGCGGTAAATTTTTTTGCATGGAAATATGTAGTTTTTTATTGTAGGCCTGTAATTTTTAGGAGTAACTCACTGAAATCTGTCCGAACTAGAGTCTAGTAAACATCCCGGGTAGAATAAAATTTGAAACATGAAATCATAAATTATAATAATATAATAATAATACATGTAATTCAATATTATAATCAAACCAAAAACACTGAAATTTGGAATATAGCGCCAAGTTCGCACATCACTGAGCAAAGTCGCAAAATCGTTTTTAGTGTCTGATGACAAATTTCCCCACGAATCATTATCACTTAATTCTGCAAGTGGTTCTAATTTACTATCGCTGTTTTCTAGCTGGTCTAAAACCAATTTTGGCCTAAAGGGATGCTTTTTGGACGCCATGGACGTTTCTCAGTTTCCAGGCAGAAAGGACAGTAAAAATGTAGGCAGGGCACAGGACAAAATGTATGTGAAATGCTTTGATACAGTAATGTTTTACTATGTGATTTTAGTGAATGTCACTTTTTGTCACTTTCAAATTTCCCACCGGTTCAGGCCCCTGTATGTCCCGACGTCGCAGGGAACGGAACCCAGAAGACAGATGCCGGCATCCGCCGGCATGGTAAGCCCGAGTGTAGCTCGGGGTTATCGCTTGTGGTACTGAAACTTTACCCCGAGCTACACTCAGGAATACCGCCAGGGAGGTTAACATGCAAATTAAAATGCAAGCATGTGCATGTTAAATAGTGTGTTTGGTATATAGTGTGTGTTTGTCTGGTATGTATAGTGCATTTATGTACAAAAATGGATTCTTGCATTACAATCAGAGTGGCTAAAAATCAATGATTTTTGAACAAAAAATCAGATTTTTTTTATTTAAAATCGGATTTTTTTTATTTAAATCGGATTTTTTAAAATAAAATGCTTTTTGAGGAAAATACATTGCCATCCAAAGGTTATTCCATCATGAAATAAAGATTAGTTTTTTAATTATGTAGAATAAGGCTGTATATGTTTAATTTTTTTGGTAAATAAATTCCATGAATCCATTCACAATGTCATGCTCTTCCAGAGGTTTTTGTAAGATTATTGGGCAGTTTCTCTGCCTACAAGATATGATCACAGATGCTTGGTTTACTTTTGCAGTTCTCAAACTGAATTTGACTCAGCGGAGATCACATGCCTCTTCTTCACAGCAAAAATGTTATAACATGAACAGAGTTAAGAAAAAGACCTTAATCCTAACTTCTACAAACCTATGAATACAGAATCAACCCCTTCAGTGCTAAGTTTCAAGAAGTTCAGTGAATAGAATAGAAACAATATTTTTCTGCTTGTTTGGAGTGGAATAGATCTGCACAAGAAGAAAGTGAAACTAAGTGTGAGGAGGAAGGGGCTGACAGTCTAAGTTTCTTAAAATATATATATTTTGTTTAGCAAAAGTAATTAGTTAACAAACATGGATGTTTGTTTAAGCAAATAACATATGCTGTAATGTTATTGTTTCAGTTGAATAAATCTATTTAAATTGTTATTATTAAGGTAATGATTATTTTTATCCTTCCTTAGTACAACAGAAACATTGTCCAAATATGAATGATTAACCTATTAAACAACTAATATGAAAAGTTGTTATTCTAAAAATCTTCATTCATCTACTTGCATATTAAAGTTATACCAGCAAGAATTAGTCTTTATGTAGAAAACTAGGATTTAAATCAAGCCTTACTGACTAGTGATTTAAATCGTGATTTAAATCAGTTTGATTTAAATCAAATCCACCCTGATTACAATAACCTCTATGATCATATAGCAATGGAAATGTGAATTTGGTAGATATTCTATATCTCCATTATTCATTTTTAAGATGTCTGGTATGTGGCCCTTAGAGAGGAAAGTCTTAGTACAGTCCTGACTCTTATTTGACCCCATTAGCAGACAACTTTGTACATGGTGCATACAGCTGGATCCTATGTATATACTGAAGCTGAGGATAGTGACAGCTGCAGGTCTGTCTTATGATATATCAATAATCATTTCTTTGTCCATTTCCTAGTCTTATTGCAACCTTTCACTTCTAATAGAACACAACCGCCCCTTCCCCAATAGCTGGAGTACAGTGTCCTGGAAGCACAAGTTGAAGTGTCTCCTCCAAGTTCAAATATTATGACTAGCACATTTTATTGAAGCAACTTTTATAAAGGAATAGTGTGCTACCATGTCTGGCAGCAAGTGGAAAGAATGTCTTCCCTTCCATATGACTTGCATAAAATGAGAAATGTGAAAAACAGACCAAAGGGTCTGTTAGTCGCACAACAAAATAGCAATACATTCTAATATCAAACTGATGTATATATGCTAGCATATTTAAAATGTGTGAAATCAAGTGAACTACTCATTTAGATGTTAAGGGTTTTAGCAACTCCGTTAACATCCCCTAAATCAATGATGGCAAGCTGCAGTATAGAGGTCTAGTTAACATTTTTATATGCAATTCCAGATTGTTGCATTCTTATCCAAGCAGCAGTATTACCTGGTACATAACTTGCATAAAAGAAATGTACAATAAATCAGTGCAACAGAAGTCTAGAAAACTGCATCCTATATTCTTTTCCAAATGGTACAGGTTGTACATTTGTCTCAAATATGATTGTTTAAAGCCTGGCAAATACAACACAATGGTATTCACTCATAGCTGGACTCCTAGCTATTACCACTGTGCCCTCTGGCAGTCACAGACCCCAATACTGTCCCTCATTACAAACTAAATAATCTCTTTAAGTTTGTTGAGTTTTTGGAAATAGCTTTCCAATCTTTTTAATTATCTGACCAAGTTTAGGGAGAAGACACAGTTGCTATCCTGTCTCTACCAATTCATCACATTTAGACATTTCCATGGCAGCAAACTCCGGCATTAACATTTTAAAGGGAAATGAATAAATGACTTGATTGCCATGTTCTTGATATATTCAAAACCGACAGCTTTCTACGCTTTTCTGTAGATCAGCATTATGTAAACCTTATCATTCATGTTAGATTCTTTTACCTGAAGTCGGGTGCAGAATATTAGTGATTTAAGTACTAACAGTTGACTTGTATTTAGGCATACACAAATGATCATATGCTTCATTACTTTCATTCTTTAGGGGGCAATCCCCCAGTTATATACACCCAATAACTTTGGATCTCAATATTGGATCATATTATCCATCTGTTGGAGAAGAGTAAATCCATGGAGTTGAAAGTAATATGCTATTATCTATTTAATAAATATAGGTGTGAGTTACTTTTGTACCACAGGGGTTGATTTACTAAAACTGGAGAGTGCAAAATCTGGTGTAGATCTGCACAGAAACTAATCAGCTTTCAGACATTTTTGTTAAAGCTTAATTGTACAAGCTGAAGCTGATTAACTACCATGCACAGCCGCACCATATTTTACACTCTCCAGTTTTAGTAAATCAACCTCACAGTGTGTCATCGGTTATCTGCCGGATGAAGGGTCCTTGCACCTTAACTGCCTCCCACCTGCCATATAAGGTAATGACGGGCGCAAGGCGGTCCTCTCGTTGTGGGAGGACGTCATAACGTCCTCCCACTCTAACCGCGTATGCGCGGCTACGGGATCGTGCAGCAATCGGTGCTGCGCTGTGTCCCTTGGACACAGCGGATCACTGATGTATGGAAAGAGCCGAAGATGTCGGCTCGGTCATGTGATCAGCTGTGTCCAATCACAGCTGATCACATGTAAATAGGGAAATGCCGGTTATCGGCATTTCTCTCCTCACGAGCGGTCACGCTGACAGCTCGAAAGAAGAGCCGGTAATCGGAATTCCACGGAGGGAACATCTACACTGATCATCAGGGCACTGATGATCAGTGTGCCCTGATAATCAGTGTAGCCCCAGCAGTGCCACCTGTCCGTGCCCATCAATGCCAGCTGTCATTGCCCATCAATGCCACCTGCCAGTGCCCATCAGTGTCTCATGAATGCCACATATCAGTGCCTAGAGTGGACATCAATGCCACATATCAGTGCCCATCTGAGCTGCCTTTCAGTGTCACCTATCAGTGCCACCTATCAATGCCAATCAGTGCCACCTATCAGTGCCAGTCAGTGCCGCCTCTCAGTGCCGGTCAATGCCGCCTATCGGTGCCAGTCAGTGCCTCCTATCGGTGCGGCCTAACAGTTCCAGTCAGTGCTGCCTAACAGTGCCAGTCAGTGCCACCTAACAGTGCCAGTCAGTGCCGCCTATCAGTGCCGTATGAGTGCTGCCTTTCAGTGCACATCAGTGATGCCTGTCAATGCCCAGCAGTGTCACCTACTAGTGCCTCCTCATCAGTGCCCATCAGTGCCACCTATCAGTGCAGCCCATCAGTGCCCATCACTGCAGAGTCATTAGTGCACATCAGTGAAGGAGAAAAATCACTTATTTACAAGATTTTATAACAAAAATGAAAAAACTTTTTTTTCAAAATTTTCAGTTGTTTTTGGTTTGTTTAGCAAAAAATAAAAAACCCAGAGGTGATTAAATACCACCAAAAGAAAGCTCTGTCTAAAAAAAATGAAAAAATTTCAAATGGGGACAGTGTTGCATGACTGCGCAGTTATCATTCAAAGTGCGACAGCGCTGAAAACTGACCTGGGCAGGAAAGGGGTATAAGTGCCCTGTAGGTAAGTGGTTAAATGCTTGTTGCTTACTATGTTTTTTTACTGATTGCTACTTAAGGTATTTTCCTTTTAAATTTATATCCACATACGTTTGTTTTAATCTTTTCTATGGCTAACATAATAAACCAAACATACCATATTATTGTTCATTAATCAGACCAGTTTGCTAACACATAGTAAACTACAACATCTGTTGTGAAAAATACTGTATATGCGAATAGGCACATACAGCTGTAAACCCATGCTTTTCACCATTACCAAACTTTGCAAAGTGTTTTCAGCTGGTCAAGGTCTAGAATCCGTGATGAAGCCATCACAAGGGGTGCGGCAATGTCTCAGCCTCTGGGCTGGATGGATAGGATAAAAGGTGTAACTTCTGACATAGCAGACATATATAATAATTCTTTAAACATCAAATATACATATGGTGGACACCCCCTATTAAGGTTGCTGTTAAAATCATAAAACAGTCTACTTGACAGAGCACCCCCCTCCAAAATATCAAAACTATATTTTTCAATATAAACAAAACACACAAAAATCATTATTAATGGACACAAGCACAACATAACTTACAAAATGCTGGCTAAATCTAAAAGATAAAACTGTATTGCATTAATAAATAAAGCTCTGTGTGGGAATGAGGTCTTGGCTCATTCACATGGATGCTGTAGCTTCTACAGTGTGAATCAGTGCTTTTTTACATGTGGATGGAGCTGTGTGTAGGCAGCCTATGTAATGCTATGGGGATGCAGCAGATGCATGAACACAACCGCAGGTCCTAATTTTTCATGTGGGTGCCAGGGGCAGACTGACCATTCGAGCACTCGGGCACTGCCTGAGGGCCTGGGTCCGTAGGGGGCCCCATAAAATGCCCCTGGTACCTTTTACAGGCTTTTTTGGGTGTGTTTTGAGTGTGGGCAAGGACACAGGGGCCCCATGATCCCCAATTGCCCGGGGGCCCCATGAGTTGTCAGTCTGCCCCTGGTAGGTGCAGTTGTATGGCCCTGAACACACACAGTGCATTTGAGGCCACTCACCCACGCCTGCACACCTGTCAACTTAGAACCTGCGGCTGTGTTCATGCAGCCACTGAGTGCTCATAGAGTAACAAACAGCTCCAGTCACACAAACAAACTGCTCATTCACACTGTATGGGCCAGAGAATCCATGTGAATGAGCCCTTATTTGTATTTTTTTTTTTTTTTTAAAGTTGTTACTTTTATTTTAAAATGATATTTTTCACAATATTGTTGGGGGGAATTGCTTGAGCAGAAGGGTAAAAAGGATGCTGCACAGGAAGGGTGTTTGGTGCTGGGGAGCAATAATATTAACAAATCCCCTGTATGGCTTTCTCTGCAGCAGCTGAAAGCTGGTGGTAGGAACAGGAGAAGCCAGTTCCAGCAATTGCCCTCTACCGCACCAATCAACCTACCTGCCCACATCAGATTCCCCCTGCTGCCCGGGCCCCATACAGGAGGACCAGTGGTACCTCCTTATCAGTGGTCCTGTCCCCTATCATAGACAACAAGCAATGTGTCTGGAAATTAAAAAGCAACAGATCAATTGTCCCCTGGATCCTATTGTCTTCAAACATCACCTGTACCCTCTTTATGCACAAACGTTATTCTGTAATTTATCAGAAAATAAACTCATGCATATGAGATAGCACACATACAAAAAAAACGTAAGACTTCAACAACAGATTTTGGCTGACAATAATTACTATTCAGTAAGCTATAATAATTATGATTTGCCATATTGCCTGTTATTTCCAGTTCTTCTTAAAGATGCTATTTATTCCTACAGTCAAATGTATGTGTTTGGGGAAATGCATGTGTTTGTTCTAAATGCACTACATGACTTTACTTAGTAGATTGTTACCTGCTAGTCTCAGCAAAGGTGGAAGCTCAGGGGTTACTCTGGCTTGCAGTTTGGGGAAAGCAATAACAATTGATCTCAATATGAACAGCTGTGTTCAAAAAACCGTAAAGTTAAACAAATGAAAATCAGCCCCAGAATGGTTATCCAAGCTACACAATGAAAGGGACTAGAAATCTACACATTCTTTAGCAAAGCATGTTTCTAACACAAGTCAAACATAGAAATGCAAGCCCATCGATATAATTCCTTGGGGGCAGTTTGTACCACAATTTCTGTGTTCCAGATGTGATTGTGCATGTGTGTTTTGATGCATCCCAATGCATTTTTGTTCCCTTTTTTTCTGCATCCTGGTGTGTTTTTCCCCCCTATTTTTTTCCTTCATCTCAATTCAGAACATGTGTATTCCAATGCATTTTCGATACATTTTGCTGTGTTCCTGACATTTTCGATACATTTTGCTGTGTTACCGAAACATTCTATACAGAAAAAATGCAGTATGTTCTATTTTTGTTAACTGTACTGGTGTGAACTAGGGCAATTGGAATACATGGAAAACACAGTGAAGGCATTTTTTAAGCAGATTTAAAATGCACTGGAGTGCATCTAGTGTGAACTAGTCCTAAAAGCGTCATTGTACTCTCTGAATCAACATTAACTATTTTGTATCTTTATGCTGCTAGAATTCATTCATAAATGGATAGAAAAGTGCAGTTTATTACATTTGTCTTATAACATTATTTTTACATTTATTCAGTTGCTTCTTGGTTTCCGGCCTAGGCCAAAATGGTCTCATACATCTCAGGAGTGTTCATGGGCATTTTTTTTTTTTTGCTTTCATCTGGGGGAAGGAAGGAGGGGTTTTCTCAGCCAGGAGAGGACTGACAACTCATGGGGCCCCCGGGCAATAGGGGATCATGGGGCCCCTGTGTCCTTGACCACACTCAGATCACACCCAAAAAAGCCTATAAAAAAGGTACCAGGGGCATTTCATGGGGCCCCCTACTGACTCCGGGCCCTCGGGCAGTGCCCGAGTGCTCAAATGGTCAGTCCGCCCTTGTTCTCAGCAAAGGACATCCTCCTGCCTGAGTGCCTGAGCTAAGGGCAGATAAATTACAGCATGTAAATGCCTCCTAGATTGTAAGCTCCAAGGAGCAGGGTCCTCCTATCCCTCTTGTATTGAACTGTATTGTTGCTGTATTGTCTCCCTTTTATATTGTAAAGCGCTGAGCAAACTGTTGGCGCTATAAAAATCCTGTATAATAATAATAAATGCTACATGAATCATCTGTCCTTACTCAAGATGACCATTACTAGAAATATTAGGGGGGGGGGGGGGTGTCCAAAGTGATTTCCCAACAAAATGAAGTACTGAGACATGGATGGATGAGTTTGCTTTAAAATTTTAAATTAATTAAATAGCATTTTCGCTTCGTAGTGCTCAGAATCAGTGAAGTTCCGTTTTAATGAACTGTATTGAATATGTGACATAATCTTTAATATCTCGTGATAAATGAAAAAAAAATTGTAGCTATGGATGAATAATTCTGAGTTTACTTATTGATGATTAAGTCGATCAGTTGTTGTATACACTACCCTTTACCCTGCTATATAAGTCCAATCAGTTTAATGTATTAGCCTAACCACAGCTAAAACATAGGTACTCCCTGAGAAAAACACCCCACAGAATTCCCTTTTTTCATATGAAGTTTTTGCTTAGAACCCAGTTGCACGAAAACCATGCTAAAGAGTTAAAGAGAGTAAAACAGAGAAAGAACCATCCCACAGCTAAGATTTCCACGGGCAAATTACTATGTGTTACAAATCTACAAACAAACCAGCAATCACGGAGGAATCTAAATTACCAGGAGAGAGAAAGGAAAGCCGCAAAGTTATGCCGAAGAAAACATTCTTCAATTATGCCATCCTTATGATATTATTGTATTTATTTTGGTGGCTTCATTTTCCTCTTGAGATATTGTAGATACATTTCAACCCCTGAAATCTATTTCCTCAAAAAGCAAATTGAACTGAATTCCCTGAAAAATTACTTAATTGTAGCACCAGAGCTATTACTGCAAATTAAAATATTTATAATAAACAGAGTCTAGCCTCCATCATAAAGCCTTGCCCAGCAATTATCCTATAAATAGTGTAAATGCGCTCTGATGTAACCGTAATTCCCACTATGCATTACAAATGTAGGTCACACCCAGCTGGACTTCCTTCCTTTTAAATGAATGAGGTGGCTTTAAGAGTAAAGCATACTGCCCTGCTTCAGAATTTAATCATTTGCAGCTTTCAAATCAAATCAATATACAGTATATAATATTCCATTTGAACAATTACCTTCTTCATTTCTTAGTGCTAAACTCCAGGCAAATACAGAAAAACTTGAATACACCAATTTCCTAATAAAAATATTACTGACATATATATACCGTATTTTTCACTCTATAAGACGCACCTGACCATAAGATGCACCTAGATTTTAGAGGAGGAAAACAAGAAAAAAATATTCTGAACCAATGAACTGCAGACATAGTACAAGAGATGACCAGAGACTGCGGACATAGTACAAGAGATGACCAGAGACTGTGGACATAGTACAGGAGATGACCAGAGACTGCGGACATAGTACAGGAGATGACCAGAGACTGCGGACATAATACAGGAGATGTCCAGAGACTGCGGAAATTCTACAGAAGATGACCAGAGACTGCGGACATTCTACAGGAGATGACCAGAGACTGCGGACATAGTACAGGAGATGACCAGAGACTGCGGGCATAGTACAGGAGATGACAAGAGACTGCGGGCATAGTACAGGAGATGACAAGAGACTGCGGGCATAGTACAGGAGATGACCAGAGACTGCAGACATACTACAGGAGATGACCAGAGACTGCAGACATACTACAGGAGATGTCCAGAGACTGCGGACATTCTACAGAAGATGACCAGAGACTGCGGACATTCTACAGGAGATGACCAGAGACTGCGGACATAGTACAGGAGATGACCAGAGACTGCGGGCATAGTACAGGAGATGACCAGAGTCTGCGGGCATAGTACAGGAGATGACAAGAGACTGCGGGCATAGTACAGGAGATGACAAGAGACTGCGGGCATAGTACAGGAGATGACCAGAGACTGCGGACATAGTACAGGAGATGACCAGAGACTGCAGACATACTACAGGAGATGACCAGAGACTGCAGACATACTACATAGGAGATGACCAGAGACTGCGGACATACTACAGGAGATGTCCAGAGACTGCGGACATTCTACAGAAGATGACCAGAGACTGCGGACATTCTACAGGAGATGACCAGAGACTGCTAACATAGTACAGGAGATGACCAGAGACTGCGGACATTCTACAGAAGATGACCAGAGACTGCGGACATACTACAGGAGATGACACAGAGACTGCGGACATAGTACAGGAGATGACCAGAGACTGCGGACATAGTACAGGAGATGACCAGAGACGGTAGACATTGTACAGGAGATGACCAGAGACGGCAGACATTGTACAGGAGATGACCAGAGACTGCGGATATACTACAAGAGTTCCTATATCATATAAAGCGTTAAATACCCAACAGCCCCCCCCCCCACCCAGAATAACAAATGATCGGGCACCATACATCAAGGTACATAAGAAAAGGACTACAACTCCAAGCATCTGGCATTTTACCTTACAGAAGGCAGGCTAGAAGAGACATGGGGCGCAATACCTGTGCTCACTTGCCAGGAGTGGGGAGGAGCTCCAAGGACAGGTCACACTTGCAGACCGGACCGACCTGTAGAGCAAGCTGAGGGTTTGGCGAGGGGAGTGCACTGCCTGATAGGATGAGCTTTGGAGAGAGTCTGGGGACAGCCCGCTGCGAGAGGGGGCTCCGATGAGGTAGGATGATCTTCAGAGAGTCTGGGGACAAGCTGCAGTGAGATGTGACAGCCCGCTGTGAGAGGGGGCTCCACTGACCCTAACACGGTGGCGGCGACGGGGGGAGGCCTGATCAATATTCGCTCCATAACACTCACAGAACTTTTCCCCCATTTTTTTTTTTTTGGGGGGGGAGTGCATCTTATGGAGAGAAAAATACAGTATTTTACATATTTTATGAAACTGATACAAAGTACCTATGTTTTCTTTATATTAGCCTCCAGTAGTCCATTGTGCAGGAGCAGTCAACCTGGCAGAGATAGGACCAGCTCTAAGAGCCATATCCAGTTTTGCTGCCTTGTAGAGAGCTGTCTGCCTCGCATAGGGAAATGTTTACCACAGAAAAGAGGAGAATGATTACTCATTAGTGTGCTGTTTATTTTCACAATCAATGGGCTGAGGGCGAGTCCCAGACCAAGCTGCTCTGCTTAACTGCAGTGGACCTGGTTTTGCTGTCTGACAGGAGTGCCTGAATTGCAAGACTGGATGAACTGAATTAAAAGTCTTTTGGCATGTATTTATCTGCTCATCTGGAAATCTGCTTACAAGAGGCATGTTTTTATAGCTCCTTTATAAAGCTCCTGCTACTGTACATACATATCACAACAATTTCAAAAACATTATACGCATACATATAATTAATGATGGCAAAAACAACGGGTTTGATTTACTAAAACTGGAGAGGGCAAAATCAGGTGTTCCTGTGCATGGTAGCCAATCAGCTTCTAACTTCAGCTTGTTCAATTAAACTTTGACCATAAAACTTAGGAGCTGATTGGTTTCTATACAGAGCCGCACCAGATTTTGCACGCTCCAGTTTTAGTAAATATACCCCACTGTGTAGGATAGATAAAAATTTCATATGGATTTAATTAACAATATTTTTACTTTATATACTTCTCGGCTATTTTTTTGCTGCTATAGCATTTTAAAGCACCCGACAGACGATATCAATAGTGCAATAAACACTTTTGTATTTTAACTCATCATGCTTTTTATTTTCAAGGGTTTGCCCTTTAATTATCACCAACATTAGCACATCCTATAGACAGTACACACAGTGGTGGTCAAACACATGGTCTAAAACAACATCATCCAAATGTACTTAGCAGTGGTTCCAATCAACACCTGTTGAACCCCAATCACATGCTGATTTGGATTACTGGTTTTATTGGTGTTGCAATTAGCAGTCAGGAAATCTAAAAGTAAATCACAAAGCAGAGCTGCAAACTCTTTGGGCACCTAAATCAAAGGACATTTGACAATAAAATGGTATAAGTGTACTATGGGTGCTAGAAAAGCCTCTAATTACAGTGTAGGTATCAGCAATAGCATTGCACAACTGTACTTTATTAGCCTACATTAGGTCTTGCAGTCCATTTATTATATTATACAGGATTGACATGAAAGCCTGTGTGGTTCCTGTATGATGGGCATCCAAGTAGTACAATTTTTTTTTTAATTTCAAATAATTTACTAGTTATTCCTTAGTTGTTGTGGCACTTAGCAGACCGCTGAAATAAATGTTGTGCCTGCAGAACAATTACTCCGGCAGCACATAGCCATATCTGCTGATTTTACATCTACATTTAGCTGCAAGAAAGGATGAATTTCAGCAACAAATTTTACTTTTGAATAATCTGTACTATACGTTTCACTCTATATAAAGCCCCTTCCATCAACCAATAGCCACCTCATGTGGCCAGAAAGCTTACAGAAATTATTTGGTAGAAAAATGTGCTTTATCATTTGTGTCTGTATCATGGTTGAACTGGATGGACTTTTGCCTTTTTTCAGCCAGATTAACTATGTAACTATGTGTATGTGTGCATGCATTTGTGTCAGGAAAGGCGAGTTCCAGATTTCTGGAAATTCGGCCTATATGCAGAGCTATGATGGAAACATCACGCTGCCTTTCTTCAGTCCAAAATGGTTTTGACTTGGTAAGGCACCAATCTCATGTCTTTGGAATCAGGTAGGTGCCCAATGGTCAACAGTCTTTAGGCAGATTGGAAAGCCTATCATGATAAGAAGCACCATCTTCCTGCAGTCCTTTCTCATGTTAAAACAAACTATTTAAATGGGATGCTCTGCAGTCTTTAGCAGATTTGCTTGTCTTAGAGTGATGGGATTGTCCAAATGCCCCCTAATGTTTCTGGGCAGCCTAATGTTGGTTATTTAAAGAGGATCTACACTGTATCTGAGCACCACAAAGCAAAAGAGCTATTTAATTTATTTTTAATATTCAATGAACACTTGCCCATCCATGTCTCCATGATATATTTTGCAGAGAAATCACTTTGAAAAATATCCCCTAGACTTTTACGCTGTGAACATCTTGAGTAAGGGCAGATGATTCATGTAGCATTTACTTCCTGGAATCAGTCTCCCCTTAGCTCAGTATACAGGCAGGAGGGTGTGCTTAGCTGAGAAAACCCTCCTCCCCTCCTGAAGACATGGAAACCAGGAAGTAAAGAAATGTAAAAAACAGTTCAAAACACGTAAATATGATATATTTTCCTATCTATTTACTAACGCTAGCAGCATAAGGATTCAAAACAGTCAATGTTGACTGATAGAGTGACGTTCCACTCTAATTTTTCCTAGCAATCTGAGTGACTCCAGCATCTACAGTGGCATTTAAATAGTGCAAAGAACGCAAAGATACCCATATGAAGCAGGGAGTCTCCTGCTGAGCGTTTTCAGCAAAATCTCTGCAACCAGTTATTTGATCGATTTTGTTTCCATGAAAAAATAGAGAAATCATATGTCTGATAACAAAAACACTGCAACTATGGTATCTGTTGTTTGTTGACAGTGTTGATGTCAAACAAATCTGTAGTTGCCTATGACTGGGTTAAAGAAGTCCAACCAAAGCTCTTTTGTCTGTACTACTCCTATGGATCACAGAAGTGCAGTTTGTTCTGCACTCCTGTGACCCAATTTCAGCCATGCAGACAGCGGTGACTGACAGTTCTCCCTGCTCTCTGCTCACAGCAGCGGTGAGAACTTAGCAGTCATGTGATCACACATTTTCATTCACACTTAGAGCCGGCGGTAAAGTAAGAATGATTTAAAAAAAAAAAAATCCCTTACTTCTTTTTATTGCATACCACTATACTTTACATTTGTTACACTGATTTGCTTATTACTCTACGGATTTCACATTCTTTATAGCATACTATTCTGTGATTGCAATTGCAGTACAAACTCCAGAGGGAAAGTGTCAGTATTGCACAAAGTAATCTGAAGCTCATGCCAGGTTAAAGCACAGTGCAGAGAGATCTGACTCTTACTGATTAGAGTTCAAGAGACCAAGAGCAGGATACCATAACACACTTCATCAAAAGCTTGGAAGTAATGCTCACCTATATTACAGCATCCTTTCCTATTAGCCCAGGGCATGTAAGCTGTGTTATGTTAAATAGGGGAAGGGTGGGAAGCAAGCAGACAAAAATGGTAGCCTGGGGACACATGGAAAATATCAGCCTCTGTACCCTAATGAAAAGTCATGTGACACCTCTTAGACATAGGATCTGTTGATGATGCTGTTCATGGAGCCATTGTGGATTGCAGAATAATCAAAGGCGAATACAATCTGCATTATAAAAGGTGTCCTACTAAGGACAATTTCACAAAAGATAGACACAGTTCTTGTATTTCTCTATATGAAAAATTATATCTTCTAAGTCTTGAGTGAGCCCCAAACCACTATATGGTAAATTAATCAAAGCAGTATGCAAATGTAAACTATACATCGATATCCAATGGACTTTTTGTGTAAAATTGGAATCCTTGAGGACAGATTGCATAAAACCAAGTATAAAAATGCTAAATACTACTAGATAACTAGATATGTTAAAAATAAAATACAACTGAGAACACCCAACCTGACCAGGACCCTCAACAAATAATAATTATTTATATATTATAGGTATTTATTTAACACCATCAATTTACACAGCACTTTACATATATACACTCACCGGCCACTTTAGGTACACCTTGCTAGTATCAGGTTGGACCCCCCTTTTGCCTTCAGAACTGCCTTAATTCTTCATGGCATAGATTCAACAAGGTGTTGGAAACATTCCTCAGAGATTTTGGTCCATATTGACATGAGTTACTGTTGCCTTTCTATCATCTCGAACCAGTCTGCCCATTCTTCTCTGACATCAATAAGGCAATTTTGTCCACACAACTGGTACTCACTGGATATTTTCTCTTTTTCGGACCATTCTCTGTAAACCCTAGAGATGGTTGTGCGTGAAACTCCCAGTAGATCAGCAGTTTTTTAAATACTCAGACCAGCCCATCTGGCACCAACAACTATGCTACGTTCAAAGTCACTTAAATCCCCTTTCTTCCCCATTCTGATGCTCGATTTGAACTTCAGCAAGTTGTCTTCCCTACGTCTACATGCCTAAATGCATTAAGTTGCTGCCATGTGATTGGCTGATTAGCAATTTGTGTTACCAAGCAATTGAACAGGTGTACCTAATAAAGAGTCCAGTGAGTGTATATTATTATAATACAGAATTTATATAGCGCTGACAGCGTGTCAGTTAATGTTGATGGGGGAATCTCTCCAGAAGTGCTACTGTGTTCTGCCAGCACACCAAGGATTCCTCAAAATGGGTCCCGAGCTTTTTCGTGGTCAAATGGTAAACACAAGGCAATGCTTTGGAGCCTTCTCAAACTGCTGCCAAGCCCAAACCCAATGACACAGGTCCTAAAGATTCTTTTGCCACACAAATGAAGCATTTCCACAGTCAACAAAATTGTTTAATCATATAGCATAAAACTGATTTTCCTAAATTAGCATCTTGAGACATCAACCTCTGAGGTTTTCCACAAGAAACTAAAATATCTG